GATTTCTCCTCATAATTTCATCCGGCGAGAGTTATGTGACTTATACTATATCATGGCAGCACTAGACAGAATCTTTTTCGCACCATCTGCATAAATCTACGATCACAGCTTCAAGACGGCCCCTGTTCGGCTTCCGGGGAGACCGAATCCTTTTCACAAACCTTTTCAAGCGAAAGTAAAGCATCTCCAGCGTCCTATAACCCAAAGGCACTCATGGCAATTTGACGTAGTGACAAATGGGGCAAGATTATTCGAGACCCGCTGGAGGCTCTGATGAGACCACCTTTCGCGACGCAAAGCTATGCAAAATTGAATGTAAGCACGAAACACCGATGACTGTGGGAAAAAATTAAACTATTCGTTGTTCATCACCTAAACGAAATAGGGCGAATATAGCATCCTATCCTCGTCGAAAGATGGTTCAAACAGAGTGCATTCCTTAAAATGCCATGGCTTAACCAACGGTTAGTTCAGAAATATAGACATTCTATTTTGCTCGTTTTACAGTTATCTTTTCATTTAATGCTTTTCTTAGCGCAGTTATTTACTTTCCTTTGTCTATTCGTTTTGATATTAATTTTCGTAAATAAAGTACGTTTGGAAGATATGAAGATCAAGATGGTGTGGCTTTTTGTGTGTTCGCAGTCTCCTTTCGTAGTATAGAGGTTGTTTAACCTCGTTTTCGCAACATGGTCAAACAAATGGTTGAACCAAATCAAAACAAGCTGTACCACAACATTTGTTGGTTGGCACACAAGAGACTAGGGCATGGCAAATCATGTTGGAGTGTGAAGATGTCATGTCGCTCAAAGGAGCACACTACACTATATCTAAATAAAGACGGTAAAAATTGTAATAGTGAAGGTATGATAGGATGATACAGCCTCAGCAAATATACAGTTATAGCGGGATCATGTCTCGGCGACATCCATGGTAGTGTATTGAGGTGGTGATGTTTTGTCATTTGATTATTAAAACCAGATTTCGACGTCATTTGGGCATGTGGATGAAAACGAGATTAAGTAGAAAAGGAATTGCCAGAAGAACCTCAATGACATCGTGAGGTCCATTAGTATACTTGAGGAAATATTGAAATCTATGTCATACACCTTTTTATGCGTCTTTAAGGTGATGCATTTACAGATTGTTGAATAGGTCAAGTTGTCATTGAATCTCACTTCCTATTGCTGTTCAAAAGTATTTGATACTGATAAGGCAAATTTGTATTTAATGGAGCAACCACTAACACTACTACACACCGTGTGAGTAGGCTCCGAAAATATCATCTAATTCTAAGTATAAATGTGATAGAAGGTATGAAGATTAAGATGGTGTGGCCTTTTGTGTGATCGCCGTCTCCTTTCGTTGTATAGAGGCTGTTTGATCTTGTTTTCACAACTTGGTCATATTGGTAGGGAGACCTAGAGGAACGCACCTAGTCCGGAGTCCATTGTATGCATCATCATTTCCAAAGTCGGACAGTAAGCGTGGTACATTCTCGGCATCGTAGTTGTCATCGTCAGTGAGTATCGCCATTCTTAGCACCACACTACAAGGACTCCGGACTAAGTGCGTTCCTCTAAGTCTGCCTACCAATATGACCAAGTTGCAAATACAAGGTCAAACAACTTCTATAAATGTGATAGTTTCTTAAATTTATCCCTTGATGCATAATGATGTCGTTGATTGTAATTGCAGGTCCCTATAAAATGTGAACTTATAGAGGCCTAGCAGGCAGCAAAAGTCCCATCAGCAACCCTGACTTTGTGGCAGAGTCACCAATTGGATATACTTCCCGGTTCAGAAGCCTAGCGAGGGTGCTGATGAAATGTCGACAAAGCTAAAACTGTGATTCAGGATGACATTGGACGATGAATGACTGACAGTCGAATTCCCGCGCAGTGCTATATACAAGCCTCATAATGATATTGAGATTTACTTGGCATTGCTTCCCAAAAAGTATTCCCATCCAGTCTTGGCTGCAGTTTTGGCTTGGCCTGGGTTACATCAACACAGCTGACGGGATTCGAACCCAGGCAACACGGCATATATTCCCAACATTATGCCATTACCAGTCATTTTGCTTAGAAAAAATCAATTATCAGTCCATACATGAATTCAGGTGGCCTAAGGTGACATAAGATTTTATTCAAGATTGTTACGGAGCTTATTATTTCGTCTTAAGGTAACTTAAGTTTCAACAATAATAAATGATCTTATGATTTTGTAACTACTTTAAGTAATATGTTTATCATACTAACAACCAGTTATAATGGAAGATTTTTCCAAGAATTGCTTAAATGCCCAACTTTAGAGAAGAGGACTGAGCTCAGTTTATCCACCCGATCAGACGGGCAGTCTTCATTTATTATTGAAAACTTATTAAAATCATCAAAACTTCCTTATTGGCTCTGCTTTGATTATTTAAAGGTCCAGGAGAAATAATGCTCTTTATTTATTTGAGGCGTGAAAGCGACCTTTAATTTGGAAGGAAAAGTTGTTTAGCGATAATTTGCGATGAACCTGTGCTAAAAATGCTTCTGTCATGTGACAGACATCATTCTATGCTAATTGGTGACGTTGACGCATTAAAAGGAGTAGATGTGATGAAGTTCCTTGCAGCCAACTTTTCCTTCTAAATGAGTATTCCAAGTAAGCTGAACGGTCTTGCCCGCCAGATTCAACGTTATTTGGATCAAAAGCGCCCCTTTCCAGAAAAGGCAATACAACCCTGATGAGGACACCTTTTGGAAGCAAGACTAGATGAAAATTCAAGTGCATTATGAGGCCCACGAACCTTATTTTGGGAAATTCACCATCGGTCCCTCCTCACCTAAATCGGCTTGGGGTGACTAAAGTTCTCATTCAAAATGCACTGAAAGTTTCGGAGTCCTTCTTAATTTAAATACCAATTTTCGATGTTGGTAGATTTTCTAAATTTACATTACTTCGTGTTGATAAGAAGTACATTTTATATGAAATTGTGTGGTTAAGAGCTTGATAGGTTGATATCACTGTGTGAAGACGACTGATTCAAATTGTTCTGCAGCCATTTGGCTTAAATACGACCTTCATAATTACGCTGTCCACGAGAGATTCTCCCTCGTTTTGGGTGATACCGAACTCATCTCTCATCCATTATGATGAGTGGTTTTGTCAAGCTGATGTAGGATGAAAGCATCTCCTATATACGATCTAATAGTAGTTACGAAAACCTACTTATGAACGACTTGCAGCTCGTCATCTCAATCTGCAATATTTTTTGCTTTACGCAATCTTGGCTATGCTTTTCCTTTGGCTGCAAACCCTTGATGAGCCGGACATGACTTTGGGCTATTTTGAACTTGTTTTGAGCGATGACGGTATTGCGCGGCCTGAATTATAGACATGCACATACACAAATGCGCACAGATCCAGGTATATGAACCCTGATTTATATGGAAGAGAAGTAAACATTATATCAATCTATGATATATATTTATATTTTCGTTTTTACTTTTGAGTATATATTGGCTGTAGGATAGGGCCAAATAGTCTTTTGCAAGAATGATTTTCAGTTCAGAGAATGCCCGTCACTTGAAACGACGGACGTAAGCTAGGCCAGTTTTCACCAGAAACGAGGGATGTTGTCTTGTGGACTGTGTCAACCAACAGATGATATTCTAGCAAAATGGCTGCAGAACACTATTGACTTCCAGTGAGATTGACTAATGGCCCTCTTAATCTCACGAACCTTTATATGAGCTAAAAGTCCCTACAAAAAGAAAGATGTCAATCAACTTAATTTTTCATTTATAAATAGGCTTTCGAGACTATGAATAGTGTATATATACATATGAGGTGTAGGGTGATAAGGGGACTGGTAGTTGAATTTTCCCACAGTGATATGAATAGACATGACGTTTCCATTACATTTTACTAAGCCTTGCTTTCCGAAAAGATATTCCCATCCAGGGTGGACTGCAGTTTCGACCTCGCCTAGGTCTTAGCAATACTCCCAGCCGGACTCGAACTATGACACTGCAGGGTACAAGCTTGACACTTTAGCCAAAACAAAACATTGCCACGAGGGTGCTTGGGTCACAGGGCAGGTGTGAATTTCAAAGGCCAGACATTTTTCCCATATCACATCCTGTGGTGGGATTGTCAATGAAACAAAGTGGACATTAGCTATAGCAATCAACTACGTTACTAATTTTTCGTTCACAAGTAGGATTTCAAGACTGCCAGTAGATCATATATATGATGTGTTTTCAGCCTATATCATATAATTGTGGGAAAATTCAACTACTAGTCATCTTATCATTCTACTTATGAACGAAAAATAAGTAACGTAGCCGACTGCAATAGCAAATATAACATGGCCTTCCTTGAAATTAACCTCTCTCCCGTGATCCGGTGGCCCTCGTGGCAATGTAGGTGCGAAGAAGACCAGTTTAAGCGAGTCCATTCCAGCCTGGAGGAGAACACCTTTTAGGAAGTAAGACTTTGCGAGATTCATTGCAAATGTCAGCCCTATTCATACGATTGTGAGAAAAATCATCTACCCCAAATGAATTGGGGTGGATAGAGTTGTTGACAAAATTCTTTTTGCAGAACAGTTTAAGTCTACTCTCAGCGAAAATTGTCCCCACCTTTACCTCAAAGGCCGAATTGATGCTCAGCATTCGTCTGCGTTCGCGGAAATTGGCCACCCTCTGGACGCCACGGGCTGGCGCCCCGAAGAGGGCAGGAAATAGAGTAGCTGCCTGTGGTACCGAAGCTGGACAGTTTGGCCGCCTCCAGACCGTCTCCTCGGCCCCACAAACTTCTCTATCCTCCTCATTCTTCACTGAACGCCAGACAGGCCCGCCGAGTTTGTCTCGCCTCGAGAGACCGACCTCGTCGACTCGCCCGGCAACCGATCGCCAAGACTCATCGCTCCAGACCTCCTCCCAGCCCCGTCCGACCCCGGCGCCGGTGGCGTCAGCTGCTGGCGCCACGACTCCACCGCGGCTCGACCTCCGGCGCTTGGCCTTTGAGGCTCCATCGCCAACCGACGAGCTCGCCTCGCCTCCAGACCGGGCCTGGAAAACGCCCTCCAGTCGGCCCATCTGCTTCAGCCTCACCGCTCCGGGAGGCCATCGCCTGCGCATCACCCCGCCCGAGGTCGATTCACACGGCACTTCTTCCCCGCTCGACGTCGGCCTGACAACCAGACGCGATCGCCAACTCTGCAGCCGACTTCACATACACTTCAAGCCCCAACATCTCTGCTCAGCAGCCACAACACAAGTAGTCATGGCAACCGGTTGGTTGGTGCTACCCTGTCTTCTCGCTTAGGTCATACCGGCCAGGCGAGTGATGGGCTGAATGCGAGATCCCTTTCGACGGAAGACTGGAGCAAGAGGCGGTCACCGATTCTCTGTGCTCATCAATCCCACCCGCAATTATATACGCCTATGCATGACTGTCAGTCACTGTCTTTAGTGAAATTTGCTTCTCCGACCCGATGAGAGTAGTCTACCGACAGTCGGACGACGTATATACCTTCATTTATACACACACAACTGCACACTTATCGGACTCGATGTGGAGGACTGCTCTCAGTGAATGGACCCCAGGTATTCGCTTCTCGGGACATCAGGTCGTCCTGAGCCCACTCGTGCTTCTAATCGCCATCCGGCGCCTCTTTTCGCCCCCAATTTGGCCGCAACACACACACACACACCCCCACACACAAATCCGCCCATCCACCCATTCACCCCCCAACCCACACACATATACATGCATACATACAGGGACAGACAGGGCTGAATGGGCATTGAATTGACAGCCGGAGTTGAAGGAAATTGAAGCTCTTGTCAAATATTGTTTCTATCATGTAACGCGAGGGCGGCGAAGACGTCCTGGCCTGTCGATGCGGCGTGTAGAGTGGACAGAGGAGGACCAACTGCTTCTGTCAGAAGGGTTTCTCTAGCCCGGCCAGGCGGACACGATGAGTTCGGCCATGCCAACCTACCGGCTTAAGTGAATAATCGTCCGGCGTTTTTAGGCTCGAGTCGAGTTTGAGACTGAGCCGAATCAAGCACCCTTCACATCGTCTTCGGTGTAAGCTGGAGAAAATGACCCTATCGGGGCTAATGAGGTTGTCGCAAAATGTGGGAGCCCCTGCTTTCCCCCCCCCCCTTCGCGTCTTCATCAAACTGCCTAGGGCCACAGCTGTACTTTGCTCGTGGCTCTCGACATCAAAGGATGCCACCTCAAGTGGACAGGTCAGGAAGATTGCAAAATTCCAGGCAAGGTGAGAAAATAAAATTTTCATATAGACATGCTGACGTTGAAAGGATTCGGAATTAGTTGCTCTAGAATGCGTGGCAGGATTTCTTTGAAATTGTAATCTGATTTGTGTGAAACCGTCTTCAGCACCCTTGGACGAAGCCGTTATCCTATTGTGCTGAGTCTTTACCTGTCATGTGACCTGATGCGATTATATTCACACAAAATCACATTTAGAATTTTGTGTACAATAATAAGAATTTATTCACCCTATTTAGTTTAAGGTGAAAAGGCGACTAGTAGTAGTTGCATTTTCATACTGTATGTGGATTAATTTTTCGTTTATACGCATAGTCTCGAGACTACCAGTAAAGAAGTTATATGAGATGTTAAGATGATTAATTTTCCACATTGATGTGAGCAAATTTGACGTTTCCATTACATTTCGCGTAGACTTGCTTTGCCAAAAAGTATTCTTTTCCAGATTTTACTAAAGATTCGACCTTGTCTAGGTTTACGTCAACTCTATTCATATTGTTGTGGGAAAATTCAACTACCGGTCGTTCGTCATCATAAATGAACTATGGTAGCCCAAAAAGTCTGCTCATAAACGAGAAATAAGTAATGTAGTCGATTGATAAAGCAAATATAACTTTGCTTCATCGAGATTCCCACTAAAGTATAAGATATGGAGAAATGTCTGGCCTTACTTGAAGTTTACATACGCCCTGTGACCTAAGGGAACTCGTGGCAATGTGGTGTAGTGGCTAACGTGTCGAGATTATACGCTGAACTTTCACGGTTCGAGTCCCGCTGGTGGGGCTGAGAAGATCGAGGCGAGCTCGAGACTGCATTTCATTCCTGCCTATATGAAATTCAATAAATACGTATGGTCTCCTCATATGATTTTGTAAGAATTCAACTACTAGTCTCCTTATCACCTTAAACGAAGTAGGGTGGATGCATCAATTATATGATAAAGTGATAGTCTCGATAACTTGCTGAAAAATGAAAAATAGTAATACGAATAGAGTTTATTCAATCCTGTTTCTTAAAAATTGGTTGGAGCCTTTTAGAGACCTTGTGGAACGTACCTAGTCCTGCGTTCTTTGCAATAGTATTCGTGATATCTGGCATCGGACCACTGAATTGGTAACTTCTAAATCGTTTCGCCAACATCGAAATCGACATCGTCGGTGAGAGGTGCCATAAAAAAACATCCAAAGAACGAAGATGCCTCTAGAACGACAGATCTCACAGTTGTTGAGCTTACTTCCATTTGGAGTGAAAGTGTTGGGTGAAGAGATTCGAAGGTCGGTTGCACCACAAGACGACGGTGGATTCCTCTTCACCAGCTGTCGATTGGCCTTACTGGAAGATTCATGCTGACGCTGTTTCCGAGGCAATCTCATTCGATTCCAGCGAAAAGGTGCTAAGCTTTCGTTCGTCATATGACAGATATCATCAGAGCGAGGTAACATCGTC